GACTAAAACATTAATATTTTGTCAACTTAGTTCGAAATGAAGAGAGAGAGAGACAGGCAAAGAGGCAGAGAGATGCAGGCAATAAAGACAGACATAAATACCGGATGTAAACAATACCAATAGAAAATTCGGTACTCACACTCACACTCACACTCACTCACACTCACTCACACTCACTCACTCACACTCACTCACACTCACTCACATGCACACTCACTCACACTCACTCACACTCACTCACTCACACTCACTCACACGCACACTCACTCACACGCTCTAACACACACACACTCACAAACACTCATAAACACTAACTAGAATTCACATGGAGTATAATAACCATCAAAGAGTTGAATTTTGAAAAATTGTTGACAGCACCAAGACGAATAAGCTGTTTTATTTTACCTATTCCTTCATGAAAATGAATTGGTGAAATGTAATGGAAAAAGCATTCCCATTTATTTGGATTTAAAAAAAAAAAAAGAATCTATCTCACCTTATATTTTGGTTATTATTTCATTAATCATTCATTATATTATTTTTTTTTAATTTAAATTGCGTGCTGTGATAGCAAGGATGAGAGATTTTGAATACTGTATACTAATTAGACTTGAATGTTTTTAAAGAGTAGATAATAAATATGCTTACCGTAATATACTTTTTAACTGGATTACCTTTCATTTCTTTTTCTAATATTATTCTTTGAGAAAATAAAAATGAAGTTGTTGGCTAAATTATTACTGTACAGATAACTAGTTTAGTTTGGTTATTTTGTGAAATAGTATTTCTCTTTTAAAATAACCAACAAACACGGTGCTATAGTATTTTTTTTTAGGCATACAAACAATGTTTGTATTTTAAACTAGTGGCGAAGCTAGGGTGTAGCGTCACCTGGTCTGGTAAACTTATGGTGTCACCACCCCCCCCCCCGCTGCCCCCACTTATGTATCTATTCTTGTCAAAATATTTTAGTTTGTTTATTTTGTAAAATAGTATTTCTCTTTTAAAATAACCAACAAACACGGTGTTATATTATTTTTTTTTAGGCATTAAAAAAATGTTTGTATTTTAAACTAGTGGCGAAGCTAGGGTGTAGCGTCACCTGGTCTGGTAAACTTATGGTGTCACCACCCCCCCCCCCCGCTGCCCCCACTTATGTATCTATTCTTGTCAAAATAAGTCCACAGTATAACAATGACCAGAAAGAAAAACAAATTAATTGAAGTTCAAGAGGTAAATATATTTAAGAACTGTAACATGTACTTAGAATCATCCATTGGTATCAATGATAAGCTGTATTTCTGAGAACTTAGATAAATATAGCTTCCTGTCTATTACGAAAGCTACACAACACTTCAATCGGCGTTGCATCCTTTTTCAAAACGGTGTTTTTCTGACCTAAATATAGGGTCACCTCATTTCTGACATTGAAGTTTAAATAAAGCACGCATTAGGATTGGTTACCTGGTTGATAACTGTACGGGTGATCGGTTACTCTTTTATGAAATTAATCGATTTGACCGAGGAGGATCGCTCTGTGATTATACAATTTTTATAATTGTCCCTCCCCTCCCTAACCCGAGATGGTGTCATCCGGTGTGGTCTTTTTTCCTTCTTACCAACCTTCGAGACTTGAAATAGTGGCCCCCCAAAATACATGTAGTTTTATAGTTACAAAGCTAGCAAAAAAATAGACTTATAAGATACAACAAAATTTGTACAAGGATTTAATAATAATTGACTTGAAAAGCTTAGTGAAATAAAGGCAACAAGCAAGAAACAGTTGTTTTTTTTTATGAACTTTTATTTTCTAACGAACAGCCACACAAAAAATGAATCCTAATGCGAATGCCCTAATAGTAAATATCGAAATCAAAATTAAAATGTTGTTTTCCCTTGATGTTAAAAATTTCACACATGTCTACAAACCTTGCTAGGCCCAAAGCAATACTTAAAAATGCTATACTTTTGTTGCAAATAAACATTGGACTAATGCGTCAAGACAAGTTGGTTTTTGTTTCTTTCTCAGTTGCAATATTCAGAAGTATTATTGACACATCAGATGTAAAAAAAATACATTGTCAAGAAACCAACACATCCACCATATTTTTTTTCCCCGTACGGTATACTTTTTTTTATAGCAGCGGTTCTAATCCTGTAAGTCGCAACCTCTTTGGGGGGGGGGGGGGGAGGGGGGGAACGACCTTTACACAAGGGTCCCCTAAGACCATCGGAAAAAACAAATTTTTGAAGTAGCAACGAAAAAAAGTTTATGGCCCGGGTTCACC